CACACACACACACACACACACACACACACACACACACACACACACACACAGCAGTAGCACACCGGAGTAAGAAGAGAGAGAGAGAGAGAGAGAGAGAGAGAGAGAGAGAGAGAGAGAGAAAGAGAGAGAGAGAAAGAGAGAGAGAGAGAGGGAGAGAGAGAGAGAGAGAGGGGCGCACCTCGATGACAAGGAGGTATGCACAAAGCACAGACAGGTTGAAAGCGCCGAGCACAGCTAGCCGGGGCAAGAGACCCAACCGTCGGCGCGCCATCTTCTCGGGTCTCATCTCTCAGTTCTTTGTGTATGTTCAGTCACTTTCAGTGTGCCGGGGACCGACTACCAGATGAGTCTACCCCGTCGAGGCCACACAGTCGGCCACGCGAGAGCAGGTTACAGCTTGTCCCCACGCGTTCGTTCGGAAGCTTCTCACTGTTACTGCTCTCAGGTCCATATATGACATTGTGCTTTTTCTAGCCAAGTGGCAGATCCGATCGCAAGAGTAGAGTTGCGTGCTCCGCACGCCAGCTAATACGGATACAAGTCGGCGCCGTACCGTACCGTACCGCACCGGTGCTTCGCTCCAGTTGCCGCTACTACTAGTTGGCACAAACGGCCGTACAACACAAGGGTGCTCCTGTGTCAAGTAAGAGGCTGCCGGGGCAAAAAAAAAAAAAAAAGAGGCTGCCGTTCGGGACATCCGTTCAAACTGGAACCACACGCAGAGAGAAGATCAGAATGGGCCCTTCGCAAGGGTGCACAGAACAAATCGAGAAAAGGGTCCAAAGCTGTAAGAAGGCCAACCGGCCTATCTCAGGGCTAGATCGCACGGCCGTTTGGAAATCTCAACGGTCGGGCCAGGCGGGGACATTCTGTCGCCCAATGTGCGCGGGTCAACAGCAACCGTGCGTTTCCATGGGACAACGTGCACACCCCATCTATGCTCTTGATACTGATATTTTTTTCGTGCCAACTCTAAGGGCCTCGTTCCACACCACTAAAGAATCCTTACTTTGTAAGGGCGCCCTAACTCGGCGAGGGTGATTAAGTTGCCCTAACTTTTTTTTTTCGTTCCACAACACCCTAGGAAGACCCTACACTTACCCGCCCTTACTTTTCAGGTGGGGAGGCGCGGGTGTCAGAACCTCGGCCTGTCGGGCACGGATGTCCGTGAAGCCGGTGTGGCGGACAAGAAGTTGTCCATGGTCTGCAGGCCCGTGGGGCATGAATTTTTTGGGACACCGACGTTTTGCGTGGGTGGTGTACTGGGCGTGCGAAGACGGCCGTCGTCGATATGAAAAGTGAGCGCACCGCAGCTGAGGATGACGGCAGCACGCCATGGCTGCCCCCGCACCCGTACGATGACATCGGCGGCCGCTCTGCCGCTTGCCCGACTTCGCGCGCATCGTGCATTGTGACGGACACCCCACCTTGCGAACGAGTGCTATGCCCAACGAGAACAGCTGTTGAGGCATCCATTGTGCACGTCGGCGACAAATGCAGTTGCAGAGGATCCGGGCGACCACCAGTCGGATCCGCCATGAGGGAGGACATCGGACCCATCCCAGCGCCACGGTCATCCGAACAAGGGGCGCTTTCGTAAGAGGTTTGTGTCGACCCCCACGCGAGAGGAAGGGTTGAAGGGGGTGGCACCCATCCCTCATCATCCGGCAAAGGCTGCATGCAGTGTAAGAAGGCAGATGGACGTATAACGCAGGATCGACTCGGTGACGCGTTGCGCGAGGAAGCCCGGTGTGCACCCCCGGCCCGATCCCGTACATCTGCCCCTCAGGAAGACTGCCGTCACCCATCACCTTCCTTGCCCTCACTCCTCTGCCCTCCTTTTTCGTTGCCTTCTTTCGCGGAGGAGCCCTGCTGTGCCTCAACAACTGCCACAGTTGCAGCTGGATGACGATGAGCAAACCGACTAGGACGAATGCCAATAGCACAGTCTTCCTGATGAGGTCCGCCATGCGCACATGCGAGGATAGTTGAAGACCGGCACAGTCGTCGGCAGTGTTCAAAATGACAACGTGTCTGACTTCGGCTACACACCCAGCCATTTGTAGTGGATGCACCTCCATGTAACAAAGCTTTGTGTCCTGCTCGCGTCGCGAAGCAACTGCCATCATTGTAGCCGTTGGCAGGGACGGGCGCTGCCATGTGCATATTTCGAATTCGAACCACCGCCAACGGCTATGCGGCCCCCGCCACTCCCAGAACAATGCACTTCCCCGCCCAACGGCCACAACGGCACTCGGAAACCGCGGTACCGGGTGTTGGCGGTGCCAGTGTCCCAGGCGAAGGGCCGGACACGAATGCAGTGGACCAGGAACACAGCTGCTTCGGAGGGAAAACTAAACTGAAAAAACATTCTCCGTGAAAAACACGCTTTGCGGCCTCGCGACCTTACTTTTCTAGTCACCTCCCAAGGCTCCCTAGAGATTTGCGACGTTTTGCCTGGGGCGCCCTTACTTTGTAAGGGCGGACCCTAAAAGCCAAGAATGTGAAAACAGGCTTACGGTTCGATGTTGCTGTCATTAGGGAGTGGTGGAACGATGATTTTGTAAGGATCCTTACTTTTTTAGTGGTGTGGAACGAGGCCCTAAATGCGTACCCTTGCGCATTTTTCAGCTGCCGGGGGCACTACCTTAGTGGTCTAACTCACGTTGTTCGCTATAATTAGACAGATGGCTAATTCACAACTCCGTCTTGGGTTCCTGAAAAAAAAAAAAAAAAAAAAAAAAAGGAGTGGTAGGAGCATCTCCCCATGGGGGTGGGGGTGCTAATTCACAACTCAACAAGGTGGTGCAGCAATGTTGGCTATTAGGCATGGTTAATGTGCTGATGTGCAACTTAGGGCGTTGCTGCACGCACACGAAACGAAAAACAAAATGAATGTATCTACCCCCAGAAAGTGGCCAGGTTCATTGGTTTGCTATAAATAGTAATTGGTTTGCTATAAATAGTAACGAGTGTATTTTGCCACTTTTGGTGGGCAGATGCACTCGTTTCGTTCTCGTTTCGTGTGCTGTGCGGCCAGACCCTTAAACCGCTAGTACCCGGCCCCAGCCTTGCAGTAGGAAACTTGTCGCGCCACTAAAAAAAGAGTCCAGTTGATGTAGATAAGTGGTTAGAGCACCCGTTGGAAATGCGCATTGTGGTATGAGGTTGAGGGTTCAAAACTCAATTGCAGCCTTGCACATGGACACCGGCAGGGCATTAGAATGACGTACGGCTGGACACACACCCCCTTGGGCTGGCGCACGGTAAGCTTATACAGACACTGCCTGCGCACCACCCAAGGGTTGTCCACTGTGTTGTATGTCGGGTCTTGATACTGAGTGGGTTGCTTGTGGCTGTTGCTCGTGCGGTGTTGTATGTCGGGTCTTGATACTGAGTGGGTTGCTTGTGGCTGTTGCTCGTGGTTGTTCTGTTGATCTCCCCAGTCTGGCATATCACACATAGGGGTCGTTTGCGATTGTCGCTGTAATGGTAGAGTCTTCAGGTCAAATGTCATAGATCACGGGTTCGAGTCTGGCTTGGGACTTTGGGGGGGGTTCTTGTCCAGCGTGGCCTGTCATCTCTTCAAAACGAACACATAGTTCACCTTTACATAGTACTGCACATATCTGGCCTTCGGGCACATACATCTCGCTATACAGTTACACAAAGCACACATAGTCTTTGGGCAGACACAAAAAACATGGCCCTATGGGCTCATACAAACATACATAGTCTATAGGCACACACAGATACACACAACTAGTACGATACTGGGTTGGGGGGGTTTATCAGGTATATAACGGGGTCTACTCACGCATGGCTTAGCTGTAGGGCACCACTACGGCAGTCGTCTTCATTCCAAGTCGGGACACCGAATGACAGCAAAATAGGAAGTCAACAGAAGCCGGACGAGCAGAAAAGGAAGGAAAAGATCAAGAGGGAACTACCTGCATCCCGGTAGCATCCGGTCGGTATCCCGGCCAGGTACGTCCAAGGGAATCAGCGGGAGGGAAGTAGAACAAGGTAAGAAGGGCCGGTAGATTGGAAGGGGGAAAACTACAGCCGCAGGTCTCAACATGCAAGTGAAAGGTGGGGTAAGTTGGCGATGAGTTCTTCTCGATTGTAGCAGGAGATTCCTTCACATTCTGCACATCGGAGAGTACTGAGTGAGGGTCGTGGTGTTGATCGTGACCACCTTCCCTCCTTGTGGTGATCGACACCTGTGTCCGTGCTGCTCTTCACTGCCTTGTTATTTGTTATCAGGGTTCACCTTGAGACCCTCGTGTTGTTCGTAGGAGTCGAGATCTAGGGTTGCTTGTGATAAGCCAGGATCCGTACTCAGTGGCTTTCCGTACCCTTAGGGGGACAATCCCAAGTAAGCCCCTAAGTACGGATTCTGGTTGATCGAGAAAAACGGGGTCCATTTTCCTTTTCTTTTCTTTTTCTTCTTTTTGGTGGAACTGCCCCTGATGACTTTTCCTCGCCGACAGTTAGCAACTGCACCAAGAAATCCAAGAAACGGTTAAGAATTAGTGTGGGGAGAATTTTTCATTTTGTGTGTAATAACGCGCGCGCGACTGTTTTTCAAATTCCTTGCACGCCGCGTAAACCCGTTCCCCCACTTTGCATCTCCACGCCATCTTCCCTTCTTGCTGTGCGCTCCCCTTTTGCATGCCTCTTTGTCTTCCCGCGAACGAAGTCCAATCCTCTCCTTACCCATCATTGCGAGCGATTGGTTGTGTAGTTGGGATGGTCAGATCAATTGGTGAAGCGGAAAGCGCGCACCACTTAAACGACCACCCCAATCACACGGAACTTTCGACACGCCTCGTTCAACCCTCCTAGAACCTCATCCTTTCTTCTATCCTGCTCATCTACACCTCGTGCTACCCGCACCTCGCGCTGACACCTCGCCGTTTTCTGCGCTATAAATTCTCGTAGTCCCTTCCTCTCCTCCTCTTTGATCTCAGCTGCTATATTGCGCCAGCTATGCGCGAAGTCCACATCGTCGAAAAAGCTCGACGTGCCCAGTGACGGGCGAAGTGACGGCGAGGTGCAGAATTAGCGGTAGACTTGGGGTAAGATAGTAGGACTCGGAGCGCCGGAGTGGTGGTGGAGATCGAACACCGCCGGTGGGAGGGCCTTGTGGCTATGGTTGGTTGGCGTTCAGAGTGATTGGGGGCTGCGCCTGAGGGAGGCCAGCCGTGTGAAAATTTTGAATAGTGAGGGACTCACTTTTATCTCCATTGCTGCCTTGTCCAAGTGTGATGTGTGCAAAGTCCCGAAGTATGGGTATTCTGTTGTATGCATCATGTTGTGGTGCGAGAGTCTATGGATGCTGAATGTCTTACTGTCCAAGATAGAAGAATAAGCAGATGTGTGGGCGCTTACTACAAGCGCAATTATGGGGAACGCTGGGTGTCGACCCTCTGCATGGATGCATGAGTGTGTTGGATTTCCCTCCCTTCCCCAACCCCCTTACATATCCCCACACCATGTGTAGGTGCAAGGATAT